GTGGGCTACTTTCGTGAACTGGCTCTAGCACAGCACTGGATGCATTCCATAGTTTAATCAGGAGAATCAGTTCAGTTGACTTCTCCTGAACCAGAGGATCAACATGTATTGCATAGGAAGAATGTAAAGATTTGATGACATATGTTTGATTGTTCCATTAAAACTAAAATACCAGCAATATTTTGAAAGAACATATTCTTAAATATATTGCATTTGCCCAGGGCTGAAGCCTGGTCTCTCAGTCTCCATCACTATGGTTAGGTGTATTTTTTCCGTACTTGTCAAAATAGGTTGTACAGATGACATGACAGGTATTTGGCAAATATCAAAGTTTTTCATTTGGTGTTGGAGCAGGCCTCCGTTTAGGAACACATTCTGGAAACACTGGCACTAACTATGCTCTTGAGCAATCTCTCCAGAGGCTAAGAGAGAAGTTCTGTAGGGATAAATGCAGTTAAAAAAATACCATGACCGGACTTTGACCCATCTAATAAAGAACTATAGTATGATGAAATAGTTAAAGACACATACAAAAATTTGGAAACTAGATTTGAGATAACAGCCTGTGTCAACCATCTCCCACAAACCCCCAATCCTTTATATCTTCTAGAGCATTTGGGGTACTTGCCTAGAGGTTGGTAAATCACAAGACTGTTGAAGGGATATAACGAACAGGGCTGGAGGTGAAGGTGGAGAATTCTGTCACATGGGTGAGTCACTAAGTGAATAAAGCACGACCATAAATGTTAAGATTTCAAGTGAAGAAAATTTAGATATAAATTTTTAAAAGGTTGATCATTAAAGGAAGAGTTACCACCTGGCAACTCTTATTTTATAAAGAAAGAGAGCAAACAACAAAGCATCACTCAAGGAACACATGCATGACTGAAAAATTGGGAAAACTATATAACTCTGGGAAGTAGTTGGAAATGGTACCAGAGTGGAGCCAGACCCTTGATCTCAGAAAGGAGAAAGAGAACAATCAAAGTTGAAAAAACGTTGAGAAGGAGAGCCAGTCAAGGCTGTGAAAGCTAAATTAAATTTCCTAGAACAAGGTAGTAGAATCCAGTAAGATATAACCCAGAGGCAATTGGAATGCCAATGCTCTTTGGAACATGAATGGCTGCCTAATGTATTTTACAGATACATGTGAAATGGGAATAAAGGCTAATGTAATTGTTCAACAATGTGGTGCAGATGATGAAATCTAAGCACTTAATTTGGAAAAGAGTATAGTATTAAGATGACTGCCTTGATTACTGTGAAGAGTATGACATGTTTGAATGGGCTTGACAGGGAAAATGGACTATTCTCTATAATTCAGAAATCTAAAGCCAGTTATTTCTTCTAGGAACAAGCATTTTATTCATTTAGCTTTCTCTATTGATTGTTTTTTGACAATGTTTCAAACACCAACACCACCAACAAAAAAGACACTTGAACCCCCAAGTGAAATTGGACTTGTTCTACACATCTGATTGTATAGATTATTGCCCAATGTATCTAACTCATCATTTGATTAAGAGATGGATTACTCAATAAGAAGCAATGTTATAGTGAGAAACTAAATTTCTATTCTTATTTTGTTTCCAAACTATTTATTGTAAGGGAACATCAAGAAGAGGGTAGTGTATGTTTCTGTTTACTAATCTTTCACTAGGAAGGCCCCATCAGAAGGAGTGACATTGCATAAGTGGGTTCTCTATTTGGAACCTAGAGAAACAGCCTGGGAAGACTTGGAGGCACAGTGGAAAGAGAAACTTCTAGGCTGTTGGTTCTCAAATAAGGAAAAGGGAAACTACTCAGTTCCACGTCCAGTGAGTTTCCTGTGGTGTTGTATCTGGTCTCCATGGGGAGGGCTTTAGAAAGTGTCTTGCCAGACGCTACCTTCTCTCTCCTTACTCAATAGATAGTTCACAGCCACTCACAGAGGACCACCTCCAGTCAAAGACAAAGTGCAGAAGTTTAGAACACTCCTTGCTTTCCTCTTTTGACCCCTCTCTGTGCCAGCGACCCTACTGCTGCCCCAGTCAAAATAATGGAATCAATTTAGCTACATTTATTTTATTCCTTACTCCGGAGATATTAATATTTCAAGACAAATGTTACATGAAAAGTGAAATTTCACGTATCCGAGTGATTATTTTTGGATAGCTAATGTTTTTGGATAGCTGATTTTAGATTTTGGATAGCTAAACCTTAGACAAGTATAGTCAATGATATTTTAAAAATCATAAAAGCTAATATACTAGAGGAATTATAATTAAAACATACAACTGTTTCTTCATTCGGTCTTCTCAGATTTTTTTTAGCAAACTGGTCCACATTGCTATGATCTTTAATTAGGTTCGTGTAATATGTTTCTGAGTTTCTAAATATTTTTAGTACAGCAACGCTAAGATCAGATCACCTTAGAATCCCATTATCTTTTTGCTTGGTATTCATTTGAAAGGAGGAATGATATCCAAATATCTTCTGTTTATATCTTCACCAAAAGGGAAAGTTGCATGTTTTCACTTATCAATGACAAACCAAGCCATGACACCCACTCGAATGACTGCCTCTCCAACTTCCAACACTAAGCACAATAAAAAAAAAAAAAAAAGATGAATCAATAGGAGAATTTTTTTTTTTGCCTCTTCTTTTCTTCTTCAGCTTACGAAAGAAAAAGCATAAAAGTAGCTGAATACAAATTATAGTATCAGAATATATTACTGCCTGATATGGAAGGTTCCTGTAGGTGTGTGACTCTTCCTAACATTCATCACACGTATAATGTACCTCAGAGTTCGCCACAATAAATCTTTTGGTTCTCAGATAGAATTATAGTCTCCCAGCTGTTAAAGACCACTGCACACAGTACCAAACCCCAGAAAGGTATGACTCCCTATAGGTACAGAGATTGTCTTTCCCAATGCCTAGGGGGGATAATCAATTAATTTTAGAATAGGAAGTAACAGGATAATATAACCAGTTTTCTACTGAGTGAGTCAGTGTTTAACATCATTGTGCTTCTTTTTCTCCAGCACACATGGTCTCATAATTTACCTATCCCACTGGGTCTTTGTTAAGATTAAATTGAATAAAGTTTACAGAATGCCTAGCAAATAAAAATCCCTTAATGAATGGCAGCCATTACTATTGTTCTGCCAATATTTGAGTTTGGAGAATGACTTTGTTCTTAGAATAGGGCATAGAGTTGGTTTACAGTGGGTTGGAAAGGCAGAGGGTGGATTTCAGAAGCAAATCTAAGAATTATTATTAAGCTAAGCTATATGCAAAGCAATCATGAAAAACAACAATAATAGTGGATAGCTATCAAAAAAATCTTAGAAGACTTCTGGTGAAATTTGTCAAAAATGCCAACAAAGGAAATATGAGACCTGCTCTAGGCTAGGTCGTGCCTAGCTTAATTTAAGCAACTGCCTTCTTATACAGTTGGGACCAAGGCAGATACATAAATTGCAAGATACATAAAAACAAGGTATTTTAAAACACACGGCACACCTCTGCTGCTTGACTTTATACTGGGAGCTGAAGTAACAGGTAACACAGATGTATTTATTGGTGTTTCAGCTATTTAATAAGAGGCTCTTTATGTTAAGTATCCTGGATTACCTAAAAAACATTTCCTTTTTCATTAGATAATGACGGGAGAGTGGGAGAGCATTTCCTATATATTGAGAGGCTGATGGATCAGTACATATTTAAAGATTGTCTCTGGTTGATGAAAGACATTTTCTGAGCTATGTTTCTCTCCACTTAATCTCTAATGTGGCCTGGACACCTCCTTGACATCTCTTTAGTAAGTCAAAACCTCCCCAACATCAGTTATGTCCAAAAATAATCTCATTATCTATCCCTTCCCTTCCAATCCTAGTTCTAACCTGCTCCTCTTCCTGGATCCCTTGCCGTATCCTCCTCATAGAGAAAAGTACTATTACCCACAAACTGTTCAGTTTTGTAAGCCAGAAGTTTAGGAGTCGTTCTTGACCATACCCCTCCTTTCCTTTCAAATCCAGCTCGTCATCAGGAACTGTTAATTTTACTTCCTAACCTCCTCCCTCTGTCTATTTCTCTTCATCTCCCCTACCATCGGTCTATCTAACTTCCCATCATCTCTCTCCTGGACTACTGTGATAGCTTCTTAACTGGTCTAACCTTGCATGCTCCCCCACCAGCATGGCAGCCCTTACCCCAAAACTATTCTCGCATCATAGCACGAACCCGATCATATTATTCTACCACCTCGACCCCATGCTCAAAATTCTTGGATGACTTTTGACTTAGGAAGAAGAGAAAAGAAAAAATGCCTTAACATGATTTACAAAGCCCCGTCCTTCCTCCTTCATGTATAATCTACTTCATGAGTAACCTATTCTTTTTGTCTCTGCTCCAGCTACACTAGCCCTTGTGTGCTCACTGTGCTTCCTCCAGCACAAGGCAGTTATGGCTCTTCCTGCTGCCTGAACTCACTCTTGCCAACCCTTTGGCCTAGTTATCTGTTCAGATTTCAGTTCAGTCGTCACTTCCTTAAGGAAACCTGCCTTGATGGACTATACCAATTCCCTGTTTCATACTTTCATAGCCCCTTGCAACTCTCCTTTTATAGCACTTAATGAACCTATGATTTGATTTTGTCTACATGATTGATATTTTTCTTTCCTATTACTAATTAAGTTCCAGGAGAGAAGGGACCACATCTGTTTTTGATACCAGTTGGTGCAGTCCAAGCATAGGGTCTATGACCTGGTGGTACTCCATAACAAATATTTATTGAATGAATAAATAAATGATGTCAGGTAAGATTTCCACATTGCTTTCAGGGAAGACACTTTACTGTTTTTGCTTAAAAGAAAAAAAAAAAGACTTAGCCAGGCCATCTGTTGTGTAAAATGTCCAGTATGGTCTATGAATACAAATATGAAAATGGTTAATTCAACCAAATCAAGGTAAGGATATGAGGTTTTGCAAAAAGTGAGTTCCTAATGCTTTTTTACCTTTAGTTTTAAAGAGTTCAGCTTTTCCTCCCTGAGGTGTTCTCTCAACATCTCCCGGTGGAGCCTCTCTTGTTCTCTTGCAAATTCACCAAGAGTGTACTGGCGCACGCTGTTATGGCGGCTGGACATGCCCAAGGTGCTGCCCCCTTGACTGGGCACGCTCGTGAAGCCTTGCCTCCTGGTGAAGTAGTACACGGTGACACAACTAAAATGCACATTCTTTGTCCTTAGTCGTTTCTCTCTTTTGAGGATGGAGGAAGCTGAAAGAGAAAGGAACAATTCAGTGAACACCCAGGGCAGTGGTTTTCAGATGAGGTGAAGAATTAGAAAGTGTTATTTGATGATATCAAATCTACAGTCACCTCTTTTTGGCTAGGAGACACTAAAAATATTATATCTGAGAGCTGGCGCAGATTTCTATTTCCTTTCTTAAGTTTTCTTCTAGCTGTAGTGGAGTAGACTTTTAAGTCCTCCATAATGGCAGTCTAAGCATACTTTCAGGAAAGTTGCCAGTAGTCTCTGAGTCAGTGGCAGAATTTAATTTTATTTCCCCTAACATCTTAAGTTTTGGTTTTATGGTTTTCACATGAGTTGCATCATACTCTAATCAGAAAAGACACACTACAAACTCTTATATTCTGGATCTTATTTTGATATTGAGGGCACTTGGCATAGAAAAATGTCTATTTACGAATTTTAGAAAATTTGAAAAAGCAATAAAAAGTCACAAAAAAGGCTCAGTGGCACTATTTAGACATTTTTACAACCTAAATCTAACAAAGCTTTCATCTGATAAGAACCACACTTAAATAGCATTACAGACAGTGGGATTTTAATACAAGTATACACTGAGACAGTTGAAGATGGTCATGAAATACATCAGAACCTTTATTAGTTACAGGGACACCAAAATGCATTGAACATCATGGAAGTTTGAGATACACACTGTAGTTGAGGAAAAGAGAACCACACATTATAAACATGACCTTTCTGGAGTTGGAAGACGTGCTAGACATCATCTAACCCAGTCCTTCTATTTTATAAAGTAGCCCAGACTTGCAGAATTTGAGTGAGTTTTTTCAGTGCAGGTAGTGGCAAAGCTAAACTTAAAACTTAAGTGCCTCCAATCCCGTGCCATATTATATGACGCTTCTCCATTGGAGAAGGAAAAGTACACTGAATTGAGAAGAAAAATATAGAATCATGCTCTTATGGGTCATTTCCCCACCAGCGCCACCAGTATGTTGAAGTTCTAACCCTAAAGACCCCAGGTTGTAACCTTATTAGGGAACGAGGTCTTTATACAGATGACCGGTTGAGATGAGGTCACTGGGGTGGGTGCTAATCCAGTACAACTGGTGTCCATATAAAAAGGGAAAATTTAAACACACACGCACAGGGGGATGATGTAAAGAGACAAAGGGAGAAGTCCATGTGAAGATGGATACAGAGATTGGGAGTGTGCTGCAGAAAGCTAAGTGATGCCTAGGACTACCAGAAGCTGGAAATGCAAGGAAAGCTACAGCTTTCCTTGTTCTGGAAAGGTGTTCTGCTAACACCTTGATTTCAATCTAGTCTCCAGAACTGTGGGACAGAAATATCTGTCGTGCTAAGCCACTGAGTTAGTGGTACTTTGTTTCTAAACTGATATGCATGTTCAAGTAGAAAAATAGAAACAATAAATCGAGCAAAAATCCTTGGATAGCAACAAGTAATACAAGCTGACATTTATGGAGGGCTTCCCAAGTGCTATACTGTGCAAAGAATTTTACATGAATGATCTCATTTTATCCTTACATCTCCTTGGGTTGGTATTACCCATGTCTCCATTTGAGGAAACCAAGTCACTAAAGGTTAAATAACATTGTCAAAGTCATGTAACCAGTAGTGAAGCTGGGATTCATTATTCCAGGGTCCAGGCTCTTAACCACCATATCACAGAGAGAGCTGAAGCCACCCTAAGGGAGTTGAACAAGGCTGAGACTTGGTGTCATACTACTTCTGGTAGATGTCAGCTGCCGCTGCCTTCAAAGAGGATTTTGATTTAGAAGGCTGTATAAGCAATGAGAGAAAACGGACTACAGTATCACTTTCTTCCAAAGGGGTTCAATTCCTTCGTCTCATATCCGCCCCCCCCACCTCACAAAGTATTCCAACGAAATACGGGGAGGCTGTTATGACTCATCTCATTTCATGAACTGGTTTATTTAATAACTATAAACTAAGGGCCCACTATGTGCCAGGCACGTTCCAGATGATTGGATATATTGGTGAAAAAACCATATGGTGAGTCCTGCCCACATGGAGCTTTCATTTCCAGGGATGAGAAACTCAGACAGAATGAACAGACTCAGAAGTTTAGAGAGTTAAGAGAAATATGACATTTGGGCAAGAATTTCATTTTCCCAACTTCTTCTCTTCTCTACTGTTTTACTTCTCCAGAGGAGATTGCCAGAAAGCAAAGGCTTTCAAACATGTACACAATTTCCCCATTTTATTTATGTATATGTTCACGGCACATACTTGTACTCCTGGCAGCAGAGACAATTTTCAACTTTGATTTAAAAACTCTGATCTGCTTCATAATGGTATATTTAAATCATCTCAAAACAGGGAAGAATTTGTCAAAATGTAAAAGATTACCGTCAAAAGAAAAATGCAACAACCTGCCTAGTAATCTGCCACCCTATCTGACAGCCTCATCCGTCACCACCTTACAGCAGGCGAGAGCCTCTGGGTTTGGGGGTGATAACCTTCAACTTTTTGCACTCTTGATATCATAGAATTATGCCCTTAAGACATTACCTTTCAAGGCCATGACTTACCAGATTAAAAAAAAAAAAGATTTTAATGAACTCATTTAAAATAATCAGTATAAACATCTCTCATGATTTTATTACTTATTTTTTAGACAATTCATGGTAGTCTAGACAAATTTTTCTTTTTAATATCTATTTAGATTTGTACCTGTAATTTTAGATTATAAGAATTCTTCAATCTTCTGGATGAATCTATTGTGATATGAATCTACCACTTCCTAAAAAGCCAGATTACCTTTTCCCAAAAAGACAGAGTTTAGAGACAATTTTCCAAAGCTTTGAGGATAACGATAGTGGCAGACTGTCGAGTCCCTTCCCCCGGGCTCTTGGCATTGCTAATATGGTCAAAGTGTGTTAGGATTGGATTGGTGTCAGTTCCTATCCACGAGGGTTTATAATTCAAACGTGTGCTGATCCTTGTCCTAGAATTTGCATATTATAAATAGCACTGTAAAAACAATGACCGAAATGCCTATGGAATATATTTAAAAGGAAAGCTTTGAAATACTATAAGATCAGCCTTGTGGGAGATACTTTAAATGTGGCTTTCCTGAATATAGGAGCCACCCACGTCTCTCTTCTGATGATTGAATTGGAGCACTAGAATGGGCCTTTATGGGCTATCTCCTGCCTCCAGGCCCCAATTTGACTAACATCACAAAATGAAGTCATAAAAAAGAGTCTGTGTTCTTCAAGCCTGGGAAAAACAGGCCAAATTCACTCAGCACATCTGCCTTAGGGAATCTGAAACCTCCCTCATATGCCTACCTAGTAATTTGTGCCATTTGCAGAGGGATTGAACTCTACTTTGTGTCTCTACAGAGTTCAAAATTCACTTTACCACTGTGACGTCAAGAGCAAGTAGAAAAAGGGTGAAGGTGTCTTTCACTACTTCTTTGAAAAATAATTAGTCTGTTTTCATACATGATACTAAGTTTGTTGTGTCTTTCATCCCAATTTCTTTTATCCCATTCACAGTCACCACCCTGAAATGGAAGTGTCTAAACGCAACAGTACTATGTATACTGCCCAGGACACAGCTCCTGAGAACACCATTATGGTCCCCATCAGGGCATACTGGTGTTACTATAAAATGATCACATATTATGGAGATAATATTGATCTTGGTCAACTAAAGGAATAAAGAGCACAGAGTTACTGATGTTAGTTATCTGAAGAATATAGCCTTCCTAAAATACTGCTTTAGAAGTGAATGGAGAAGAGAACTGAGCAATTGCCTAATTCACAATGCCAGGACAAGAATGTAAGTGACAAAATAAAATAATCTGTGCCATAAATTATATAAAGAGTTTGTGAACAGAGTGGATTTGAAATGGAAGCCAAAACTACAAGTTGGACACGTGTTTGCAAGACCATCCAGGGAAGCCAATGCTTTGATGAGACAAATATTCTGAATATTCTGACCCCATAGAAGAGATGAATAGATCAAGGTATCATTGTTGAATCAAATTAAGCTCTAAGAAAATTCATCTGACTTTGCTCCACTTCCACACTCATAAACCAACCTGTTCGTACAAATTGGAACACACCTTCAGATCAACAAGACTACCCAGTTGACTCATTAATTTTATCTCTTGCTGAAAATAATCAAATTTGTTTCAGATGTGCAAGTCAGTCATTTCTGAATGTGGGTAGTATGTGTCGTTCCATCTGAGATTGCCTTCTCTGCATTCAAGAGACCATCCTGTGTCTGGGCCTGTATGATTGAAGACAACATCTTAGACCATTGATCCCACTGTAGTGCAGTACTCTGGAGCTAATAATGCTTGAGCAGCAAGCCAGTGACCCTCTCAAAGCACTTGTTCTTTTTAGTGCCAACAACCATCAGCAAAGCACTGGCATAGCCTGAAAGGCAGAAAGCAGTAAACTGAGCTATGTGTTTTGGCACTAAATTTGGTACACAGAGGTTGAGAGTTAGTGGTCCAGTCTGATGTTGAACAAGGGGCAAATTACGGAAAATATTAATTCTACCATGTGGGTCTAAAGTCAATAATATATTTCTCTCTCCTATGCACTATGCTTAAAAGGAAAATGCCAGATGACTGGTAAGTCTATATTTTGAGTTTATTTTTCATTTATTTGGGGGAAATTTAGTCTAAGCAAAATGAGATTACTGAAATTGACTTGTTTATCTGGTAAATCCTGGGCAATAAAAACTCTTGATTTTTAAAACATACACACCACATTAATCAGGGGTTCTGCAAGTGTGCATGCTGCTTCTTACCTTTTGAAGAACAAATCAAGATCAAATCAGTTATGAAGTCATGAAGCTTAGCTTACAAACAGAAAATCCAGTTTCACCAGAAAATATTTTGTATAAAAATTAGCCTCATAGCTCAGATACTACATCAATTTCCAATGGTTAAAATTATTAAGATTAAAACAAAATATGTCCCTAATCTTTACAAGTGACTTCTGCA